ATCTCTCCGATCTTTACGTTCTATGATTTAATTTTCCCAAATTTGAGTATTTTGATTTTTTTTTTAAGGTCGAAGAAGAATAAAAAACAAATACGAGAGAGATGATGCTGAACATGGAAATGCTGAGGAAAACGGTTGTGTGGTGGGACATCAAGAGCTGTCTGATTCCAGCTGGTTTCGATCCTTGTCTCGTCGGTCCGAGGATTGAAACGGCGCTGAGGAAATCAGGTTACTCTGATCCTGTCACCATCTCTACCGTCGGCGACCTAAAAGAGGGAGAGGGCCCTGATGAAGACGTCCTGCGCAAGCTTTCTTCCAGTGGAATCGCTCTTAAACATACCACTCGTTAATCTTCTTTCTAAATCTCTAATTCTATAAATTTTTTTTGTACAAAAATGAATTTCTTTTATTAGGGTTTAGGTTCAACGACGTTGCTTTTCTTTTTACTGAACCAGGAGGACTTGCATCGGTGTTGTCTAAAAGTGGAACTTCATGCGGAAAACTCGATCTTTGACTACTGTAATGCTCGTATATGGTGGTCATGAGGAACTGTATGTGATAGATATTGTACTTGGCTCCCACAGAGTTGACAGTTTCTTCTGGCATATCATCAAGAAGATCCAGCCTCGCGCTGGAAAAGCTTTCTAAATATTTGCATCAATATTTTTTTCATTTAAATGTCTTTTTTTACCACATGTTTACCTTTCAAAGAAAAATGCCCTGACGTGCCTTTGGTTGTTATCGAGCAGGAGTGGAGCTTATGGGCTAGTGGTAAAGGTGTGTATCGTACTAACCCTGATAACTTTGTATGGGGTCGATCAAAGGCAAGTTTTTTAAATATCTCTCATGTTAAGATTTGTCAAAAAAATGTACAATTGCGTTCAACTAGACCCGTTTCACAATTTACCGTGTTGTGTCATTGTCACAAGTTTCCCTTTCAAAGAAGATACTTTTCTTATTTCCGCTTGATGTGCATTTGGTTGTTGTCAAGTAGGAGTGGGACTTGCTCAATCTTGAAGAGATGTCGAATCGTGGTTGTCCTGATGTGTATTTGGCTGTCAAGCGGGAGTGGGACTTATGGGCTAGTGGTAAAAATGTGGATCGTAGAAACCCTGATAATTTTGTATGGGGTCGATCAAAGGTAAGTTTTCAATATCTCTCAAGTTGATTTTTTTTTTCATTTTTGGAATTGTCAATAGCCTTCAACTAGACAGACCCCTTTGACGACTTACATATTTTGTCATTGTCACAAGTTTCCCTTTCAAAGAATCTATACCTCTAATTTCCGCTTGATGTGCATTTGGTTGTCAAGCAGGAGTGGGACTGGCTCAATTGTCAAGACCTGGCTGATAGTGTTCGTCTTCCGTATAACCCTCTAGAGACTACCGTGGTGGAGAGTCCATCAAAGGCAAGTTTTTTTTAGATTCCTAATTAATCTTTTGGAATTTACCATTGAGTTTCATCAACTAGACCCCAGACCCCAGATATGGAATAGATAGCATGGTTTTAAATTTACTGACTTTTGGCTTTGGTTGATGCTAAAATATTGAAGGAAAAGTGCAACAAGAAGAAGCTGAAGGGACCCCTAACTTTGAACTAGACGATGAAGAAGAAGAAGAAGGGTACATGGCTCATGGGGTGTTGCTCTTCTCTAAAGGTTAATGGTTTGTTCTACTTCTAGCAGGACTTGTTGTGTCACTTATGCTTATTTTCTTAGTCTCAGTTTTTCATTTCAAGTTTTCTAATACTTTTATCAACATCTCCTTAAACTCATTCTTGTAAAGCACCCCGTCGATTAGAATTGTAAATATATCACATTTTTAAAAATTATTGTTCTCTTAAAAGATTTATTAGACTTTTTCATTATTTGACTAAAATACTCTTTTAATAAATGTCAAAATATACAAAATAAATGTATTTAATTTTTTTGAAAATTACAAAAAAATGAAAGAATTGTTCACATGTTCATCAACTACTTGTTTTCCGAGACAACAAAACAAACCAGAACAAAACATTGAAGAGACTTGAAGTATGAACAACCAACACGAAACCTTATGGAGAAACATAAACATTTGACAGTTATCAGAGTAAAAGTAGAGCTTAAATCAATACTTTGGCCGAGAAACCGACAGTTTTAAAAAGGCACAACGGTCTGCAGTGATTCTAATCGCCACAGCTTACCATGATCCCTGAAATAAGTTTGTACAAAGGGGTCAAGAAATGCATTACCAAAGTATACCCCAAAATCGAGGTAAGAGTAATCCAGTTGAAAATATACAAGTCTTAGTTTAAGTCTAATAGCAGAAGAAAGTCAACATTACAATCCTACCTGACATTTAACAATCAAGTGTTGAAACACTGAGCAGAACAAGTCCTAAACTTCTCTCTAAACCCTGAGAGATTATCTGGTTCCAATGTAAAGAAAAAAAAAATAGTAACAGAGTTTATACAGAATACCTCTGGAGCAGAGTTCTCAAAAGTGAACATGGAATTTTGCTCTGAAAATTCAAGCTCTGAAACTCTTATTTTGTTCAAAACAAGTGAACATGGAATTTTACTTTATGAAGAATAAGAATTCTGAATATTTCTCAGTTGTTTAATATGTTGTAGTACACACATGAGTTTGAACCAAAAAAAAAAAAAAAAAAAGCTTCACACTTGCGGATTCTTCAGCTCTAGAGGCATTCTCTAAAGCAAATTATCTAAGATTTCTTGGTCTCTTCTCTTAGCGTACTCCTTCATCATTTCGATTCAATTGAAAATATTACTTGGATACTCCTAAAAATTGAGCAAAGCTTGGATATTTCGGCTCCCATCCTATTTCCTCTCGTGTCCGTGAGTTGTTCAGCTTCTTCCCTAAAGGACCACTGGTGCCTGCAAAAAGTGAAGTTGTCAGGCTCTATTAAGCTTAAAGGCTTTTCAAGACAACCAAACGTGTAAATGTCTGAAGAAACTCACTCGTGAAACCTTTGAACTTCTTATCATATTTTCCGCTTTGAGCCATCAGGTCCATCACCTCTTGCCTGAGAAGAATGCACGAGGTCAAACACGTGAAAGTGTCGAATGTTTGAAATATCTCAAAGTTAGAAATAAAACAGCGTTACCTTGACAAAGGATGGTTGTCACAACCCAAGAAAATCCGACCACCGGCTTTCTTCTTCATGATTGCAACTGCCAGCGACGCTGCATCCTGTTCAGAAACACATTACAGAACCTGATAAGAGACTATGTACAGTAAGGTGACAATGCTAGATAATAAGATATCTTATATTACATCTGCAGACCAATCATAAGCCCCTACTGAAGAAGTTCATAGTCTTTAAATAGTAGAAATGAGTGAGCAAAATCACAATTATACCTCATAGTGTATGAGATTCAGGATATGATCAGGACGAGCATCGACTGTCTCCTTACTCAACCAGTAAGTATGTGCACCTCTAGTCTCTGTGTATAGAAAGTTCAGGAGAAACATAATGCTCAAATCTGCTAGAGACCAAAAAAAGCCTTTCATTATTTGCTCATTTTGTTTCAATATATCGAAATCCAAAAGGATATGTAAAGCCCTGCAAGTCTAAGGACAGTTCCTCCACATTCCAACACTACTTTCTCAGCTTTCAAAAGTACATCGGTTCTTGGGCTCTTTCCCAGTGGCACCACTGGAGATTCCTGCAGTGAAGGGTAACAAACTTGAGAAAGTCTTACTGAATAGGGCATATATATATTCACAATGTATATTCACCACGAACAAGAGTTTGCAGTATGATCTCGAATTTCAAATGTTTGTCTGATTGTATACTTGATTTTCATATCTTTCAAATGATTCAGAGAAAATTGGAAGGAAAAGATATATTCAGGTACTGAGATAAACCTCGTTGCATTCTCCATTATCAAAGCAATTATAAGGTGCAGAACTAGATGTGAATAAGAATGATCCTTCGCTGTTCCACTTTGATGCTGCCATCCTGATCCGTTTGTAAACGCAAGCACAGACCCATATTCATTAGGAACACAATTCATACACTTTCCAGCTCTTGAAACAAGTGATGTCTTGTAGTTACCTGAGCTCAGCGGCGTAATCTGGGCTTTGTGATGGAGGAGCACAAAATATAACATAGGAGAACTTGCCCTCAAATTCAGTTCCTTTAAGAGATGGTTTGATACCCAACTTCTCCAACTCAGCATGATGATTTGTTGTTACTGTCTGCCCAAATATTTGACAATCTGCATGTACCTGCTCACATGATGAGAAAACATGACTCCTTTTGTAAACGTTGTGAAGAAAGTCAACCCACAACATAATTGATAAACACTCAAGACAGATAAAACAGGGAGGTACAGGACAATCTTTTTTGTTTTATTGGTACAGAAACACCATATCTATAAGATGTTCTATAAGAACAAATATGTGCAACTATCTAATTCAGCTCAGTCCCTGTAGAGGACAATGATGTATGCGATAAATTAACACAGATTTCGTACCTCTCTCCATTTTTCTGCAACTAAGCGTCCAAGAACACCAGGTCCAACAATCAGCAAATCGTTTGCCCCAATTGAAACAGGAGGCTGGACCTTCAAGCCATCACTGGTTTCATCTTCATTAAGAAAAAACCATGAGAAGAGCACAAAAAACATATAAAATGGTCACTTTTTTGGAGAAAAAGAATCACAAAATCTTAATTTACCACATTTTTAGTTTCTTATCCATGTATTCACAAATTATTGATCATTGTACGGCTCTAATTAACTCTACCCAAAGGTCAACAAATTGTGCACTAAGCATCCAAAAAAAGTCAACGAGAGGTTCACTTAATCCTTATAGCCGTGGAATCGAAAGAAAAAATAACATCGAAGAAGCAGAGAGTAAGGATACCAATGGTGGAGGAGGAAGAAGAAGCTTGAATTGGAGTCGCCATTATCGAAGACGTTGATAGTGACAATGAGAAATTGGGTTTATCCTCGCGCCTCAAAGCAAAGTTAAGTAAACACGAAGATGGTAAAGTCAATTGCTTGGAGAAATGGGTCGATGGAATTCTTGAAATTGTCTTCGGAAATGAGGTGCAGGAGATGAAACCCATGAAGGAAAAAGAAGGATAGAGCTTTGCTTTTGACGAAGAAGATTGAGTTGGCGAAAAAGGTAGGATTTTTCCTCCGGTGAGAATTTGGTGATGGGTGCTCTTGGAATGTTGTAACCAATGGCGTCTTTTACAGGTCACGAAAATCCAATATGAACTTATTTTGAACACAAAATGAAAACTTTACAAATTCGTGACATTCTCATTATATATAAAAAAAAAAATTGTTAAGGTTTTTCATCGGGAATTTGTCTATTCAGTGTTATAAAATTGTTAAGGTATTTTCTAAGATTACATAGGAGTCACAGATTGTCTATTCAGTGTTATAAAATTCGATAGGTTTACACACTCTTCTGCTTACTAAGAATCTCTTCACATGAGCTCTGCTTCTTCAGTGTCTCCATCAACATCTTCAACATCGTTCTCGTCATTCTCATCAACTGCATCTGGGTCTATTCCCTGCAATCAATACCCCAATCATGTAATGCACTAAAGATAATCGTTCGTGCTTCACAAAAAGAATCTGGATTTCATTTTATTTCATTACTACTATCGAAGCAGCCAAAAGAAAAAGAAAAAGAATAGGTTGACTAACCTTCATCTGTTTCTCCAAGCGATCTAGTCCCTTTTTGGCTGCCTCATTCTGTGGATTTATTCTGCATTTACATTTCAACACTCGTTATAGTTTATTCGCATAGAAACAAGAGAGAAATAGGCACTCCTGGTTTAGAATCTTATATACCTTAATGCATCCTGATAATGTGATAAAGCATCTTGAAGCATATTCGTTGCAGCAAACACTTGAGCTAGCTTGACATGGAGAGAATCATCAGCCCAATCTTTGAGATACCTTTCAAGTAGTGATACAGCATCTCCATTCCTCCCTTCCATTAGATGAAGCTCAGCCAGAGCTATGGCAGCTCCAAGGTACCCAGATTCAAGCCTCAGAGCTGACTCGTAGAACTTTTTTGCCTGTTAATAAAAACATATCACTCTTCTGTTACACCGAAAATTTATCTTCATAACGAAATGGTCATAAGAAAGTGCTCACAAGCTCTCAGTAGTTACTCAGATTTGGTATACACTATGAAAGATGAGATTTAGACAGCTAAATTCTTAAGGATCTTTCCCAGTTTGAGTATTTATTAATATACAACGAGTAAATTCCTAAAGCTTCGCCGCTTCTGATTAAAAAGATGAAATTCTAGGTAAAATACGGATGTAATCAAAATTGCCAAAATCCATCCAATCAAAATAAAACTGACTGTCTTTACCTTTTCCCTGCCACTTGATGTATTAGCGTGAACATCACCAACTAATTTCAGGGCCTTTGCGGACTGAGGCATTGCATTCATTGCTTCTCTAGCGGTATACAATGCTTCTTTGGTTTTACCAAATGCCAGATAAGAATGGACTAAGCCTGAAATGATCTCAATAGTGCAAGTTAATTCAGAGTCCGACCTTGTTAAAGTTAATTACCACCAAAACAGTACAACAGTGGAAGTGTATATCAGTTTTTTTTTTTCCTCGTGAACCAGACCTTGATCTGAACGAAGATCAGACCTCAAATTCTGGGCAGCCCTGAAGGCAATCGCTGCAGCTTCTGGTCGCTTTGCTAGTAAAAGAAGGTTTCCCTGAAATGTATAACAAAATTAGTGGATATTCATGTACGAAACTATTTTACAAAAAAATTCCTCGTTAGCTTACCTTCATTATATAGCCGGGTATGTGCCTCTCGTCTACCCTGATACTCTGATTGCATAGTCAATCTCATCAGATATCACACAAAGACTAAGCACGAATTTCAGTGTCAGCAAGCTAACCTTCTCAGCATAAGATAATGCCGTCCTTGCATCTTTTCTTTCCCATAGTACAGACAAAGCAACAAATACTTCTGCTCTGGTATGATCAACACTTAATAAATCATGGACTAGCTTATTTAGCCTGGAATAATCACACTTTATCTGTAGCAGCATCGCATACTCATCCATACAGGTTAGTGTGTAAGGATCAATTGATCGAACCTACAAAAGTTTTTATATTATTATGCACATTCCATGATTTGAAGAACTTGAAACAAAAATATGGATGCGATGACTACCTTCTCAAACCTCATTATGGCCTCCTCATTTTTCCCAATAATGGCCTCGATCTATACAAAAAAAAATAAACGATCGAAGAGTTGATCAACTACCAAAATTATGTCAATCAGCTTTAAGTAGAGCATCATAATAATAAGAAGAAAAACTTGGGTGTAATTGTGTTTGCATCGCTGTCAATGCCATCTCTAACCTTAGCTGTCTCAGTCAACAAGTGTACATTATTTGGAAATCGTTGTAAAAGTTCAGCAAAGTTTTCCAGCGCCACTGAGTAAACAACAAAACATTACGCACTATTTGTACAGCATATCGGATTAATCATTGCAGAATTTCCACGAACTAAATGTAAGGAGTGAAATCTACAGTGTCAGACACAAAGATCTAAAAGCCATATCTCATGCACTGTAGCCGTGTGCATCCCACAAAGAAAAAGAGATTTACCTTTGTAAGCATGTGAAGCAACACAACACTGGGCCTCGACATAACGCTGTGAAAACGAAGAAAAATTACCCAAGATGACAAAGAAGAAGAAAATTTTATTGCCAGATAAGCCACAACACAATTACACAACACCAATGAAAGAGCCATCCAAGAAAAGGTATAACAAAATATTACTTGGCTGGTTGAATAGTCAAGCTGGTGCTAACGGAAAAGCACTAATTTATTCAAGGGGATTCTATGAAGACGATTATATTCACTTTCCATTCATGAACAGCTTATCCCTATGTACAAAATGTATAGTTCATTGGGTTTGACATTCACCTAGTCCATGATGACAAAGTTCGTAGAACCATTATACATCAAGTCGTATTCCGGAGAACATAATAAACAAATTAAGACACTAAGTCACTCACAATAATCAGCTTGGCCGCACGGTTAATGAGTTTACTTGCAAACAGTTTTCGGCATTGTAAATACTGTTACAGAGTATGCTTACTTGCAACCAACGGGTGGGATCTATCTGATCGAGCGAAACCTTTGCACTTCTACTTGGAGTCTGAAATGAACACGCGCCATAATAAATTACATAGGAGAATGGATTTTACATGAAAAAATTAATTGCAAATTAGGGAGAAAGAGATGCAAAACCCAATGAAAAAAATGCCAAAAAAATAAAAGCAACTGGTAAAAAAGTCTCGTAGAAAGGACACCTGAGTAAAAGCTGATATGATATCCTTTGCAGTGACTCCCAGTTCAGCTAAACCTATGACGGCTTCGAGTACATAAGGACACTGCCTGCAGAAATTAAAGTTTATTTATTTATAGATGTAATCTGTGTGGAATTGGGATTTAATGTAAAAAAGTGAGATATTATGACGGTGTTAATATTGGGAAAGAAAAACAGACCTTAAACACTCTTTGTAAAAGGCAATAGCACCACGGTTATATCCAGAATTTCGATGAAGTTTTGCCATCAGTATATTCATCTCCAAGCTCCTTGTTTTGACAGATTCCATCTGGCAAAGAAAGAGCAAGTGCAATAATAGATTATAACTACGCAAGCCATGGTTTATCATCCCTTACATGCAGTGTTGGAAGCAAAGAATCCGTTTAGCTTAACTTGTTCTGTAAAATGGATATGCATTAATGGGTGGCGAAAGGAGGCCAATGCAACGCAATTCATCTCACATTTAGGGATACTAAAACAATCATTATTTACGGCCCATTGATGTTTGACTGAGCTCGGGTTATAGAATAATATAGCGAGATATAAGTCATCCTACATAAAACCAATCTATAATCTGAGAAGCAGAGAATTCTCTAAACAGCTCTTTTTCCGGGTCATACACATGTTTTGCTTTCTATGTACCAATGTTTGTGGACCAAAAAAATCCAGAAGACTAAATAAATCTTAATAAGCAGATAAACAGATGACACTCCGAATGAAAAAAACAGAAGACATACCTCAGCAATCGCAGCTTTCGTTTCATTAAGAGCAAAGTGAGATGAAGCAATCTTGAATCTCACCTAAGAGGAAAGTTAGAAAAAAAAGAAGACACACATGAACATGAACTCCAATGAAACTACACCAAAACACATCACTTTCTAAAAACAGCAAAAAACCAAAAGGATCAATAAGAAACTAAAAGACACTAATTTACCTCGTTCTCATTAATAGCAGAATTGGCCGAGGCATTCACAGATGATCTTGTCGACAAAGATAATGAACTCCTCGAAATACTGGAGTTTTGCTTCGGTATCCTTGTATAATGATGCAACGCTTGCTTATACGTATGCTGAAGAAAAGAAAGATTACATATTCAGAATTTCGACATGACTTCAGATCTTTCCTCCAAAGTACTCCAGAGGACAAGAATAAGCAATACAACACTGAGTAACATTTCTCTTTCTCAGCAAAAGCGAAACAACAAAAATCATCTACACTCTCACTGAAACTTACAATAGCTCTCCGGTATTCCCTCTGATGAAATAAAGCATCGCCAAGTAGAATCTGAAGAACGACACAAAAAGAATCTAACTTCAATCTATAAGAAGAAAATATCGAGCATAAACTAACGGGCTCAGCTACTAAGATAAAAGTATCGACGGAGAAAGAAGCTTAACCAAATTCTCCGCCTTGAGATGAGGACTAGCTTCGGCACTAACAGTAGAAGATGAAACGAGAAAGCATCCCTGTATATAGAGAATTTCATCAGTCCATTTGATGAAAACTAGGGATTTAGAAGAGAGAATCAAAATGAGTGAAAAAGGTAGAGAAGTTACGAGCATCTCAGCAGAATCGTAAAGCCCATGCTCCATTAGAGTCGCGATCTGATCCTTTGGAACCTCCATTTGAGAGCAATGGTGACTTTAGTGAGAGCTTTTCTTCGGAGCAACGATGAAGAAGGGACATCCTTCACAGCTTCACGCTCGCTCCTCATTTTGAAACAAGCAATCATGTAACCGAACCGAACCGAAATCAACCGGTTCTCTTGCTGATATCCATTTTAACTCGGTTCATTAGAATCAAATCGGGTCGGATTTTTTAAATAGCCCTAAAAGAGACCCCGTTTTCGCTTAGAGCCGTCTTCACCGGAGCAAAGAGAAACTCTCCGGTCATGCGGAATCTGCCTCCATCATCGTCCTCAGCTTCATCTTCAATCGGCGGCGAAAGGTATCGTCTGCTAAAACCCGGTGAGAAGTTTTGGGAGAGAGCTATCGTTGCTGCCTTACGGGGGAGATCCTGTCCGATATGCCTCGAAAATCTCACCGGACGACGAGCCGCCGTAATCACGACGTGCAAGCACGGATACTGCCTTGCTTGCATCCGGAAGTGGAGCAGCATCAAGAGGAGTTGCCCTCTCTGCAACACTAATTTTGATTCCTGGTTTATAGTCAGTGACCTGGCTTTGAGAAAATACCGCAAGGAGCAATTACCTATTCTTCGAAATCGTGAGACATTAACTTACCATCGTAGGAATAATCCTTCCGGTCACCGGAGGTTACCCCTCTCTCTCTCTATAAGATCCTCTCTTTGGGTTTCTGCGAGATTAAAAATGCAGCTTTTAAATTACTTTTCTTTCACCTTTTTTATCAGGATAATTCAAAGGTCAGGTGATGTTTTGGGAAGATCTAGCTCGAGATCAAGGCCATTGCCATGGCGGAGATCATTTGGACGTCTAGGTTCAGTTCCTGATCATATTATCTTTGAGCGAAAGCTTCGGTGGCGAGCTAGGTTGGTTTGCTATTACTTCTCTTGTTATCTTCTCTGTAGCCTTCACTTTCAATCTTGTCGATAGTGTTCGGTTCGTTTTCCAGTTTCTAACTAGTGTGATTGCTCTAAATTCTAATGCAGCATATACGATAGACAATTACGAGCTGTTGGCTGTTTACATTCAAGGCCAAGCTTGGAACTTGTAAGTTTAATAATTCACTGTGTTATTCTGTGTGCTTCGTTTCGTGTTTGTAATCCATTAAGATGAGTTTCTTGTAGATCCAAGCAGTTCTTATTTTACTTTGTAGTTATAGTAGTCGAGTTTGCGCTAGTAGCTTATTGGATATATTCACATTGGAAGCCTGATATATATACCTGTCATCTTTGAAATGTATGTAAAAGTTGTGGAGTTTTGCAGGTGGACGATCAGACCAAAGCAAGGGTGATTGAAAGAATTGAGCCATGGATTAGAAGAGAGCTTCATGCAGTCCTTGGAGATCCTGATCCATCAATCATTGTTCATTTTGCGTCGGCCCTTTTCATCAAAAGGCTTGAGAGAGAGAATAGTCGACAATCTGGGCAGACTGGGATGTTGGTCGAAGACGAAGACTCTTCTCTCAGAAGATTCTTGTTTGATAAGGAGGATATATTTTGGCATGAACTAAGGTACGATTTTGTACTTGTACTCTGGGATTTTTTAGAGTTTAAGTAATTACGGGTTTGTTATGTGTTCTTTTTCATCAGTAGTATTTTATTATAGGGCTAATATCTGCTTGATTTGGGTTTGGGTCATTAGATGGTTGACGACTGTTTCTGATGAGTAAGAATACATTTTTTCAGATGTTTCGCTGAGAGTAGTCTCACGATGGAGACGTATGATGCAGTGGTTGAATACAATGAAGTGGAGTAATGGCAGTAAAAAAAGGGTAAAGAAAATGCTTGGGAAGTTAACTTCGTCTGTATACAAATCGAATTTAAAATATGTAATATATGGGTTTGGTTTCACTAGGTTGTCCCAGAAATATTTTGGCTGTTCAATATCTATTGAATAGAAATCGATTGCCTATTGTTGGTTTTTGCTTTTCTTCTTGAAGTCGTATCAGATTTCATTATTTTGTATTTGTTTTGCAGATAATCAAGCATCATGTTCTCGCCATATGAAGTGACTGTTGATGTCCTGGAAGTTGAATTCCTGCAAATAGTGGAAAGAGTGGACCAGTTAAGACAAAACATAAGAGTCTTCAAGAGTTATAGAGTAGGTAGGAGAAAGATGTAAGAGATGACGAAACTTATAAATTGTTGCGTCTTCTTAGCTAGGTGGATTCTCAAATAGTTGACACTTGGTTTCTCTACTTCTTTTAGCCGAAAGAAAAGTTTAATGTATGTCTCTACTATGCCAAGTTCTCACACTCGAAGTTTCTTAAAGCCCAACGCTTTTCCTCATCTCATCAATTTTTCTAGGTTTCGAGGACCGCCTATTTTTAATCAAACCTATACTTAAATAAAGAGGAAGTGCGCATGTTTCCTTGTTAGAGCATATGAGATGGCCGTTTCGACAAAATCGCTTATAGGAAAGCTTTTTTGAAGTAGAAGAAGAGGAGATTTCATTAGTTTCCTATTTTAAACCCTACCTTAATGGCTAAGGCTAGCGATTAACGCGGTGAATAATAAATAACAAGTATGAATATAATTAATTAACGAACGTGTGTCTCGAATTCCACTGTTACGGTATTAATATTAGCATTTAACCAGCGGCTGTTCAGAAAATTTAAAAAATAAATAGAAAACGTCTATGGGTTGGTAAGCGGCAAATCCAGCTGCCAAGCCTATTTGACTTGCTCATTCGATCATGGTGAGCTCGTCTTCTTCTTCTCTCTCTCTCTCTCTCTCTCCAAAAACTTTGCTTTAAAGCTCTCTCAATCATGAACATGAAGATCCCCATCACAACATTCCATTCCTCCTTATGAATGATTCTTCATCAGGTTTCTTCTCTCTCCCCTCTGTTTCTCATCAATAATTCCTCTCTGTTAATTAAACCATCTCTGATCGTGTTTCTAATTTTGTTTTTTCGTTTGTTGATTGTGGAATGTGGACTTGCTTGTGGTTTTTTGTTTTACAGTAAGGCGAATGGTTTCGTCAAGGGCAATGAAATGCTTCTACTTCAGCAAAGAAAAATCACAAGATGAAGCTAAGACGAGAAAGTTTGATTCAGTGCAATCTTCGTCCACTTCTATGGCTAGAGGAGGATCAGGGTCTGAGTTTAACTCCGAGACAAGTACTACAACTTCCATTACTTCTTCCTTGCACGTCCTCTCTGATACACACAGTAACAATCTAAAAGTCTTTGCCCTCGATGACCTCAAAACCGCTACCAAGAATTTCAGCCGGTCCTTGATGATCGGTGAAGGTGGATTCGGTGGTGTGTTCCGTGGCGTGATTCAGAACCCTGAAGATTCTCGTAAAAAGATTGAAATCGCAGTTAAACAACTCAGTAGAAGAGGTCTACAGGCAAGCAAAGCTATCTACTTTTCTTATCGATTCGGTTTGGTTCTTCGATTCTAAGTTGCACGTCTTCAATAGCTTAACAACATAATCACATTATGTATGTATTATATAATACAGGGGCATAAAGAATGGGTGACAGAGGTAAATGTGTTGGGAGTTGTGGAGCATCCGAATCTAGTGAAGCTGATCGGTTATTGCGCAGAGGACGACGAGAGAGGAATCCAACGGCTGCTTGTTTACGAATACGTACCAAACAGAAGCGTTCAAGACCATTTATCAAACCGTTTTATAGTCACTCCTCTCCCTTGGTCCACAAGAATGAAGATTGCTCAAGACACTGCTCGAGGACTCGCTTATCTTCACCAAGGAATGGAGTTTCAGGTCTCTTCTCCTTCCATCTTTACAAATGCCGCCTCAAAAACGTTTCTTTTCTTTATATATGTTCTTGAAATGTACATCTATATCTTGTATATAGATCATCTTTAGAGATTTCAAATCTTCCAACATCCTTCTAGATGAGAATTGGAATGCAAAGCTCTCTGATTTCGGACTGGCTCGAATGGGCCCTTCCGATGGAATCACTCATGTCTCCACCACGGTATGGAAAAGCCTGACTTTGTTCGGCTTTTGATGGTTTGTTTCAGTTTATATGTTATCGTAAAGTATTTGACTTTTCAAGTTAAAACTGTTAATGAATCCACAGGTTGTTGGAACCATTGGTTATGCAGCGCCTGAATACATCCAAACCGGACACCTCACGGCCAAGAGTGACGTGTGGAGCTACGGAATCTTTCTGTATGAGCTCATCACAGGGAGAAGGCCGTTCGACAGAAACCGGCCAAGAAACGAGCAGAACATCTTGGAATGGATCAGACCGCACTTGTCTGATATAAAGAAGTTCAAGATGATCATCGACCCAAGGCTTGAAGGAAACTACTATCTCAAATCGGTGTTGAAGCTAGCGGCAGTTGCAAACCGGTGCTTGATGGTGAAGGCAAAGTCGAGGCCAACGATGAGTCAAGTTTCAGAGATGTTAGACAGGATAGTGGAGACTTCAGACGAGGTTTCTCCTGCGTTGCCATTGATGAAGAGCTTGACGCCTAAAGATGCGTTTGAGGCGTCAAGGAGAGAGAGAGTTAAGAGAAGATTTGTTGAGCTTTTAATTGGGGTTAATGGTTGTCCTAATTTGCCTACTTGGTCTCCTAAACTTGTCACTTCTATTTGATTGTGAGAGAGAGAGAGAACAAAACAACTCAGAGTTTGTGTTATGCAAATATTAATTGCCACTAAAAACTCATCCTAATATGACAGTTAAGTGAAAACACAATAACAGAGCTTTTATAATTAGTGTTTCTCGATTGTGCAAGTCGCGAAAAACCATCTCTTTCTTCTTCTACAATGCTCTCTATCAGCCGCCATGCCAAAACCCTTAAAACCCTAGCTTCTTCCTGCACCCAGAAACGGACTTATGTTGATGTGTACATGAAATGGAAAAAAGATCATTACTTTGACAACATCGAACACATTCTCCGATCTTCGCAGCTCAAATCCGTCCTCGCTCTCAAGAACTGTATCGTCCAGGATCCTAATCGATGCATTCCGATATCTTCCGTCTCCAAGAAGATGCTTCAATTCGATGTATCCACCAAAATCGCCAAATTCTTAAGGCAGTTTCCTTCAATCTTCGAGGAGTTCGTTGGTCCGGATTACAATCTCCCCTGGTTTAAATTGACACCAGAAGCTGCAGAGCTCGACAGGGAAGAGAGACTCGTTTACCAAAACTCCGCCGAGGATTTGCGTCACAGGTTGAGGAAATTGATTCTGATGAGTAAAGACAATGTTTTGCCGCTGAGTATTGTTCAAGGCATGAAATGGTATCTGGGTTTGCCTGATGATTACCTTCAGTTTCCAGAGATGAATCTTGATTCTTCGTTTAGGTTTGTGGATATGGAAGATGGAGTTAAGGGTTTAGCAGTAAACTGTTTTGATGGAGAAAAAAAGGTTTTGTCTGTGTTGCAGAAGAATGCAATGAAGAAGAGAGGAGGAGACTATTCAGCGATTGAGTTTCCTCTGTTTCCATCAAAAGGTTGTAGATTGAGAGTCAAGATTGAAGATTGGTTAAAAGAGTTTCAACAGCTTCCTTACGTATCACCATATGATGATTATTCTCGTTTGGATCCAAGTAGTGATGTAGCAGAGAAGAGAGTTGTTGGGTTTCTTCATGAATTGCTTTGCCTCTTTGTTGATCATTCCGCAGAGAGGAAGAAGCTGTTATGCCTCAAGAAGCATTTTGGATTGCCGCAAAAGGTTCACAAGGCCTTTGAGAGACATCCACAGATCTTTTACTTGTCTATGAAGAACAAAACCTGTACAGCTATTCTAAGAGAGCCTTATAGAGACAAAACCAGTGTAGAAACCCATCCTGTGTTAGCAGTAAGGAAGAAATACATCCAATTGATGAAGAACTCAGAGTTGATTCTCAAGAGTAGAAGGAGTAGTTACGAGTTTTCAAATGAAGGTATTGTAGAGAAAGATTTGGATTTGGATTTTGAAGGCTAATGCAGAAGATTATTATACACAATACAAACCTTCTTCAGTTTGTTCCTTGGAAGAATTGGCTTATATTTCCTTCAAAAGAAGTATATTGAGACATAGTTTGTAACACCCATCTTTATTGATCAAATACATTATCAACGTATTTGTTTCAGACCAGTCAAACCACTCATAGTATTACAAGGACTGTAAATGCAAGAATCTTGCTATATATATGAATTTAAAAGACGACCAAAGAAAAAAAAATAACAAGTATTCCCCAGAAGACAAAAATGGGTATAAGATTTTGTATAAAAAAAGAAAAGAGATTTATGTTCAGCTGCTCAATTTCTCAACGATCTTGGAGAGAGCTGAATATGAGCCAATGACTGAAGATATTGCTCCTACTATGATGATTAAGACACACAGCATCATCTACAAAACAAACCATAACATTGTCGATGAATCTTTATCGCATAAGCAACAATGTTTTTTGTGAGAATTGCTTGGATGATTACCTGCGTCCTGGTTACTTTTCTCCGTAAGATGCTCAAGAAACACGCTGGTGGAAGTATTAGCGTCTACACGCAACAAAATATGAACTTAATTAAGATCCTCATTTGCAGATGAACCAGAAAAAAAACTCTCAGGTTATAATAGAGAAGGAAAAGACAGCTTACGACGAGCATTGTCAACAATGATCCAATCAATGACATGACAAGGCCTGCAAGAATTTTGAGTGTTCATTAATAGCAGAAAGTATGATTCTGAAGAAAATGAGCATTACATCAAAAATGGTAGAGAGCATCTTACCAAAGAAGGGAATTGAAAGACCAACAAGCAGAGTAGAGAAGACCAATGCAGTTCTAATGGCAATGGCGTACCAATGTGACTTGTTATGCCTTGATGGTATCAATTCCTCAAGACTCAGAGCTACTGGAGATATGGTCAAAGCATATGTGCTTTCTTTTATTAAGGTACACACACATATGATGAATATTAGACAGCTTATATAAGTCAACAATAAAAAGAAAACTGTTTCTGAATATTTTCTTGGAAAGGATATTTGGTAAATGGATTGACCACCTGTGAAAATGGTTAAAACAAAATTTTAGTTCCCATGAGATCATAAGCAACATGCAAAATAATAGTGGAAAGAAAACATTTTTGATCTAATTACCGTAGTCCACACAGCAATCTTGGTTGCAACCAAATCCTGAGGCAAGTTGAGAGTAAACTGCGATTGTGTTGATTCACCAAACATCGTATAACCCATAACAGCAACGCCCGCGTACATAAGAGTACAAATACCAAAACTGCAAAAAAATTATCAAACATTGTGATATCAAAGTGTTTGCATATGTGATCTATGGTGGATTTGTGCAGAAAGGTAAATGAAGAAAGTTTGTATAAGAAAAGGTGAAGTATGCATAGGCGAAAGTTGAAAGCAATCTAGGAAAAATGTAGAGTTAAGAGTTTGCAAGGACTTGTTAAGGCCTTCAATAAGCTTACCATGTTACTAGAACAGCAGGATACTGAGTTGGTTTGGCCATAGAAGTATAGATATTGGGAAAAACAGCATGTCCTGAGTAGCAGTAACCGTAGAGTCCTATAGCTACAGGTAAAGTTGACAAATTTAGTGTAGTTCCTCTGCTGTGAATTCCAACTTCATCTACCAAACCAATCCAAAACAAACACAAAACCACTAGCACCGATGCAATCACCCCTCCAGCTGTAAAAATTTAACAAAAATACTTATGTTAGGAACATTTCTTGGCGTGTTCGACTATAAGCATCTCCTAAGTTACAGGATTAGGAAACAAAATCACACCTGAGATATAACTTAGTACGCTGAGATCTCTGAGCCAAACGGTGGGGAGAACAGCGAGAGTGGTTAGCAAAGCAAATAGATGTCGCGCATCTAAATCAAGTCCTCCAATACTTAAGGCAGCATTTGGAAATAATGAAGACAAATTATCACTCTCCAATATTATATATTCCACACAGCACGCCTGCAATATCAATACAATCATGTGAATGAAGTCTGCAGATGTATCAAAATGTTATATACCGACTTATATTGATACACCTTTAACTTCTATGGTGGAAAAAATATTGTTAAAGAATTAAAGACACTATAAAGCAATTTCCAGACCAAACTATAATACAAAACAAGTTTCATCTAAACTAAATTGTCAGAAAATTCAGAATTTAAGTAATCATTTCACACTAGTAGCTTTTTAAGAAGCTTTTAGGGACTATTCAATCTAAAAATATAAGAAAGCTTTTGCTGCTTTTAGTGACGTCAAAAGCAGCTTTAAGAAGGAACAAATTGAAACAAAGAGGAAAAGTTTAAAAGAAGTCCCAGGTAGTGCCAAATCTAGAATGAGCTAGTGGGAGAATCTATGGGACCCTCTGCTAAGTGCTAACGTGTTTCACAACATGGGTCATTGATTCTACATACCTAAGATTTCTTCTGTTGTGTTTTTTTAACACAACTTGGAATCTCTTTAGTTATGTACTTTTCTTTTGACAAAAAGAGTAATTTGCTTTTACAATTAATAAAAGATAACTCAAAGTCAATTGCTGGATGAATGCGAGAAGTACTTACGTATAGCTCCAAATAGAGTACTATCTGCAATACATTTAAAAAAAAAAAAGGAAAAAGTTAATAATATAAATTGGAAATTATTGATATCCACTTTCACTATCAAACGTGGGTAACTGGTTGGAAAGCTAGCAAATAATCTCTTCTTTTTCTCTTAAATATAATTTAATCTTCACTAGGTTGGAGAGTAGTATTCTCTACTAAAACTACAAAAGCGCAAAGTTGTATGTTTCTCGCTATTTTTTTCTGAAATTTAATAGTATTATACTATTGACTTGTGATGGTGAAGGTGTGATAGTAATTTCTCATAAAAATTCAAATAAAGCTTCACACATGAAACAAAAAGGTGATAACTTATTGTCCTTAGACTTTTGAGTCTTTCGATTTCTTCGAAGGCCAAAAAGCAATTCTCTTCTTCTTTTATTGTGTGGATATTGTATCTAATTCATTCATTTTTATTGTAATATATGTACTTTTTTCTCTATGGCGGTTCTTAACTTGATCACCTTCACTATAAGGAAGAGGATTTTTAAAAGGAAATTAAAGTTAGTCCCTTACCGAGACAAAGATACGTCCGGTGGTACCAAACGCAGCTTGGCCAATGTCGGGATAAGTCTCGAGGTCAGACTCACTATCGAGACAGTAACGCAAGAGGATTCCAGTGTAGAAAGAAAGAAGACCATATATAAATAGTATCATTAGCCCCAACCATCCTCCTTCTTTGGCAGCGTAAGGCGTTGAAAGTATACCAACACCACACAGAACGTTCAATCCTGCACATGGCCACACATGTAACAGAAGAAGAAGATCATAAATTTAACAAAGAGCAAAAAAAAAAAAATTTACAATCATGTTCTTTGAACCTAGACGTGTCCATGTGCTCCATGTGCTCCATGTGCTATAGGACAATAACAGTTGATTGCTGTTTTGTACTTTTCTCTCAATTTATAAAGACAAAGCCACAAAAGGTCTTCAAAACACTGAAGCAAGACGGTCTAGGCCCATACAAACATATCAGACTATGAGAGAATCTAAACAAAGAGTATCCCAAAATATTTCATATTCTAATAACACACACACACACACCCTAGATCCCTAAACTAACAGAGAAAATGTTGACAACTTTTCAATATGATTTAAAAAACTAAAGATAATAGCTCAATTTTCTCCCATGGTTACTACTCTCATCAAACCAAGCATCTCTTGAACGTTTTGAACTACTTTTTACGAAGAGTAAACACAAGCATTATGATGAGACTCACCATTTAGAACAGCTTGTCCGTATGAGCTATTGCTGGACAATGGAATTTCATGAGACACCATGGTTGCTTTCTCGTCCTTTCGCATTGAACTTCTCCTCGAAGGAACAGGAGAGAGCAAGCCATGAGAGCTAAGTCTGTGTTTTGGTGGTGGTGGTGGTGGTTGTTCATCTGCCTGTGGTGATAGCAGAGGTTTTGTAACCGCAGGTAACGACTCTGGAGTGTGTCTTCTTATCAGTGAAGAGGATAAGAAAGAGCTTCCGAATCTCGTCATCGAATTATTACCAAGAAAACCAATATTTGGAGACGGTACACTACTGTAAAGATCAATCGACTGCCTACAACATAAACAAGAACACACAAGAGATCAAGATTAATAATGCATTTTAACCCTTAAAGTGATCATTTGTTCCAAAATCAACCAAGAATTGTCTATTCCTCTTAGCCTACAACGTTGTAGAAGAGGAAACGGTGACCAGAATAAGAGAAACATAAACTTTGTGGTCAAATCAGAAATAACTGAAAGTAGGGATAGAGATAAAGATGATAGGGACCTGTAACTCTGTGGCCAAGCCGTGGTGTATGAGTTTGGCTTAGTCTGCGTCTGGTTTTCATTATCAGCATCAGAGGAATCAGAATGGCTTTGACCATCTTCTTCTTCTTCGTAATCTTTTCTTTCCTCTTCATCCTCGCTCTCAATGTAAAAACTCTGATCAGAAGGTACGTGATTCATTTTCTGTTTTTCTCGAAATTCTTAACCTCCTCTTTATCAAATCTGATTGATTTGTGCAAAAAATTTAAAATTCAGAAATGAGAAAAAACGAATCCGGATACAGCAAATCAGCTAGAGATCTAACCTCTAAAAGTCAACAGTCTCTGTTCTGTCCTAAAACAGGATTCTTCACCTTGCAATGAAAAAAATCGAGCTCTAAATATTGAGTAACAGATCAAAACAGGCAAAAACAAAATAACATTTGGTATAAGATAGCACTGGCTGCGGAGAGAATTTGTTCAACATCAAAAATACAGATTAGGGGAATAAATCTCCAAAAAAAACATAGAAAAAATGACATTATTTTTTAGATGACAATTTTTTTGTTGTGGTATTCGGTGTTACCTGAATATTTTGCCTGGGATGCAAACAATAATGAGGTTCGGATCAGAATTCTTGGAGATGCAGAGAGAGAGAGAAAGAGAGCTGTGTAGGATATAGAGGAGAGTGGAAGAGAGCGAACGAGGGAAGGAGGAAGAGAGAGCGGCTTTTTCTCTGTATACCCTGATTTTATAATTTCACTTATTACAAGGTAGCTTTGTTTTTTTTGTTTCCTAAAAGAAAAACACACACATAAACAGAGAGAGCGGCTTTTTCTCTGTATACCCTCATTTTATAATTTCACTTATTACAAGGTAGCTTTGTTTTTTTTGTTTCCTAAAAGAAAAACACACACATAAACAAATTAAGAGGGTAACTTGCTTATTTAGATAATTGCCCTTTATTTATTAGTTTTTTTCAGCTGAATTTATTTATTAAGTCTTGGTTTTAGTCTAATAATTTGTATTAGGTCGACAAAAAGAAAAATTGTATTAATTTTCATCGTAATATTGGATTCGAAAATAAAATTTTAAATACGTGAATCACATACGATAAATGTCAACCATATGAAAATGTTTACTATATTTATACTTTAGTATACGTATATTAAATATAATTTTTATACAACATTGTATATTGAAATTTCAAAGTTTTAAATTAACAAAAGAAATTATTATACTGTATAAATTAGGAAACTACTTACAGTAATTGAATGAAAATGACAAAGACGAATTAAAATGACCAAAAAAATCTACAAATTATTTACTTTTTTCGAAGAACCGGTAAAAAAACGTTTTTACAATATCAGGCGTGTGGTTACACGCACAATTTCGCGAGTGTATAAAGATAAGAACACGCGCATTATGACAACATGGAGGTGACTGGTTGACGACGAGTTGTAAACACAAGTGGTGTAGCCGTGAAACTGTGATTGGTTGAGTCAGAAGTGTGATTGGCTGACGTTTAGCAGCTTAATTATTTCTATTTTTGTGTCGCCGTCAATTTTAATCCTGTTTTGCTTCTTTTGTCTTTGCTTTAGACAAGAAAATGTCATTAATTTACACAAAAATATAAAAATGATGACTCATTAGCAGAACCGAAGGGTCGTTCCAAATATAAATTGATTATGATTTCTTCATTTTTGGTAGGCAACCATATCTTTGCTCAACGAGATAATACAATCTACCAAAAAAAAGTCTCATGATTTAAAATTTAAAAAGAAAACTTATATTGGGGAACTGTTTATCTACTTCAAGAAAGAAAACTAATCAAAAATTGAGTCTCCCAACTCCAAGTAGAAAACTAGAGAGGTATATTGATTTTTTTTAAAAAATTTTGAAGCATGACGATATCGCAAAAAAACACAGAAATATTTCATTGCAAAAAGTAATCAAGTATAGTCGTTGGGAAACTTTATATTTCTTAAAAAGAAGAGCTAAGATTATATTTTTCACCCACTTAACATGATAGAATATTTTGGTATAGTTGAATTGACGTTGAGTGATAACGTGCGGATAATAGTATTTGAAGAAGAAATCTCTCAATAGCAAGAACCGAATCACATGAGGAGCAGATCTGTTGTCTGTTCAGTGGACTTATCTACTGAAACAATAAATCAAGAGCATGTGCGCTCTTGATCTCCCTTTGTTGATTCTCCGCTTCCATCGACATATATATCTTCATCCCCACATGGTTCATTGTTGTTTTTTTTCTCAAGTATATCTACTACAAAAGAGAGGAAGATCATGGTCACAAACATTTTGCATACATTAATCATTGATTCGATGTACTAATTTTTTCTCCTTTTTTTTATTGTTGATAATTATCTGTGTACAACTCGTTATCAACATAGAGTCCTACATTTTGTCTTCTACTGATGATATTTGCTCGTGACATAATTTGCCAGTAATCACAACAGTAATCACGGAGGCGGGTAGATTTGGAGAGAAGGTTAGCTTACGTAAGTGGAAGAATCTAAGACCATCCGCAACGCTGAAATGCAAAATATGTTTCTTGTTAATTTTTATATTATTAAATTTGAGGAATACTAAAAAAGGAAAAAAAGGAGAGAGAAATTGGTAAGAGAAAAAAGAAGAAAGAGAAAGGAAGAGTTTTTTTTGCTGACTAATTAAAAACTGACACGTGACAGAAGAAACGTTTTTAATTGTTCCCAGAGAAGAAACGTTTCTGCATTTTATCCAATCCATTTCAATTATTATATAAATAAATTTTTATTAGAGACGCTTAAGAGACAGCGTTGTGGATGCTTTAAAGAAATAAAATGGAGCATGAATAACGTTGGACGCATGAACTGTGGAAAAATCCAAAACACGAAAAGAGCTCTAAAAGAGTTATTGAGACATTACAACGATTGAAATAGGAAATAGCTCTAAAGAGCTTCATTCAAATAAAGTATATCTAATACAAAAGAGAGGAAGGTCATGCTCACAAACATTTTGCATACATGATACACTAATCACTGATTCAATTTACTAATTTTGTCTCTCTTTTTTGTTGTTCAATATATTATCTGTTTACAACGTAACTCGCTATCAACATAGACACACAGTATCCTAAATTTTGTCTTCTAGTGATGATTTTTGTTCGTGACATAATTTGCCAATAACCACAACAATGATATGTGAGTGTGACTAGTGCAAAGGTTTGTAGATTTGGAGGAGAAGGTTAGCTTAATTAAGTGGAGGAATCTAAGGAAAGTGAAAATGGAGTATATGAATATCGTTTGGAACCCATCAATCATCGTCTTCTTGCATGGTAGATTAGTTTTGTAAAATATGCCGGTACACATTATTACATGATTTACCGATTGATGTGTTGTGGTTTCAAAGTGTTTTTTTTTTTATATTTGTTTTTCCTTTCATTTCATTCGGACCGAGCACAACTCCAATGCCTTCAGAAGTCATAGACCGGTCGATCCATTCAACTCGTGATCGATGTTCTAGGAGGATTCTTAAAATTGATAGTTTCTTACTGTGTTATAATTTCCATTTATAGAAACTAGAATTTTCAGTTTCTTTCTTTTTCTTGAACACTAATTTGAAGATATAAGTATATTTTTGATCCACAAGGATAAAACCCAAACCCCTACGGAAAAAAAAGCCCACATTATATCTCTCTATCTATCTCTCTCTCTCTCTCTCTCGGCGAAAAATGGCGTCGGTGGCAACATCGCCGATTTCCTTCGCCGCTTCTTTCCTCAGAATCAAAGCATTCCCTCTCTCTCCTCGCTTCTTCCCCATCCGTACACTCCGTTGCTCTCTCTCCTCCTCCTCCTCCTCTGAGCCTCTCGAGTTCGACATCACCTTCGCACCTCCTAAACCCACACCTTCCTCCACTCGCGGCGGCGCCGGCGTCCAGCAGCTCTTCATCCCTTGGATCGTCCGTGGCGAAGACGGCAAACTCAAAGTCCAGTCTCAACCTCCAGCTCGTTTAATCCACGCTCTCGCCGATGCCACCACTCAGAACCCGAAGAAGAAAGACAAGTCCAAGAAGAAGAAGCCACAATCCACCTCCGCCTCCACACCCTCCTCTCCGGCTTCACACTCCAAGCCAAAGCTCTCCAAGGCGGCGCGTAGGTTCTACAATGAGAATTTCAAGGATCCTCCTCAGCGTTTGAGCAAGGTTCTCGCTGCTGCTGGAGGTGACAAACAACACACTGATTATAATCCCTCTCCTCTGTTTCCAATTGTGGGATTCTTTACAAAGTTGAATCATTTCTGTGAAAGATAATGTTTTTTCTATGTGATAATGATAGTGGCATCGAGAAGAACCTCTGAAGAGCTGATTTTTGATGGAAAGGTTACTGTCAATGGTTCTCTCTGCACCGCTCCACAGGTAAAAATTCCTCCTTTGTCGAATAAAATTCGATGGTTCAATAGTTTGGTGTAAAAACCATAGCTTTTCGTTATATGCAGATTCGAGTCGATCCAACGAGAGACATTATTTATGTTAATGGGAATCGTATCCCCAAGAAACTTCCTCCAAAGGTTTATTTTGCTCTGAACAAGCCAAAAGGGTTCGCCTTTCTAACCTATTCTCACTTGTAGCTTCTCGACTTTCTTTTCCACAGACTTGTTAACCTTTCTTTGATGTTTGGATCACAGATACATCTGTTCTTCCGGAGAGAAAGAAGTCAAATCTGTTATTAGTTTGTTTGACGATTTCTTGGCCAGTTGGGTAATAAATTTAATGTCTCTTTTTTTCACTGTACACGAATTGTTCCTTTTGAAGTGTTGTTACTAGAAAGTTGGAATTTTGAATATTGTCTTTGCAATTTTAGGATAAAAGGAATCCAGGGACCCCTAAACCTCGGCTTTTTACCGTTGGTCGTCTTGACGTTGCCACAACGGGTTTGATAGTAGTTACAAATGATGGTAATTGTAATTCACTCAACTCCTTGTGCTCTGTTTCTTGGTTTCTACACATGCTTCAAGAAACTCTGTTTCTCTTCTGTTCTTCTAAAAGGAATCTCAACTTCTTGTTATACAGGAGACTTTGCACAGAAACTTTCACATCCTTCATCTAGTTTACCGAAAGAGTAAGCTCGCTTTCATATTCCTTTTTACATACCATTGCTACTCATGGTTAGGCGTTCGTCATTAGTTTGATGAACTTTTGGTTTGACTAAGATTTAAGAGAAGAGCTAGTTCATTCTAGATACTTCTTATTGAAAATACAATTTAGATAGACGCTCTTTGCGGATTTATTTTGTGATCTTTAGCTAATGGTTCACCAGTTCCAAATATTGTAGTTTGACGCTTTGATCCGTGTAATTGTATTCACTCAAGCACTGATTCTTTTTCTTGAACATATATGTTTCATCTCAGTTAGTTTCAAAGGTTCTCTGAGTTGTTGTTCGTGCTCTAATATTCTGTTTTTCTGAAACGGCAGATATATTACTACGGTTGTGGGTGATGTACACAAACGGCACTTAATGACCATAAGCGAAGGGACAATTGTGGAAGGAGTCCACTGTGTCCCAGATTCAGTTGAGTTGATGCCAAAGCAGCATGATATACCAAGAGCACGGCTACGTATTGTGGTATTTTTCCAAAGCTTTCTCATATTATATATGTCTTATATCTTAACTACATTGGTTTTGCAAGTCTAGGCACGACAAAGTATCTCTATGCACATTATCTAGACTCTAAGATTATGTTGATTACTGACAGTGAGTGTTTTGACCAAACTTAAAAACTAGGCTCTCAAATCCCATATATCTATCTAGGCTTTGTTTAAGCCTCAGTAGTCTACTACGCAATAATGTGGATGGTTCTAATGAAAGTGTAGTGTTTTCAGCCTTTGATCTGACATCTTGTGAGTTGATAAACCAAACGTGTTACAATATGTAATGTATTGATGTTGGACCTATGCAGGTTCATGAAGGGAGGAACCATGAAGTAAGAGAAATAGTGAAAAATGCTGGGCTTGAGGTCAGCTTTCTTTACCTTGTCGAATTAGAATAAAGAAGTTCCACCTGAGAAAAGGCATCAGAGTTAATATATTATCATACCATTGCGAGTGACATTCTCAATTACTTGCTCCAGGTTCACTCATTAAAGCGTGTCCGTATAGGTGGATTCAGGCTTCCTTCAGATCTTGGGTAAATTATGCTTCTGCTTCATATTCCTGCATATTCTAGCTTATGCTTATATATGTAATTATAACATGTGATCATGTATTAAATTATCAACCACACAGGCTAGGAAAGCATGTGGAGTTGAAGCAGAGCGAGCTAAAGGCAATGGGTTGGAAGAGTTGAAGATGTACATTTCTGCCTACTACTCATCAGACTAGTGGCAACTGACCTATTGTCTATTCTTCGATTTTGTATTTGTTGTTCAGTTACATCTTAGTCGTAGGGTGACTCTTCTTCTTTGTTTTCTCATATATAGGAAAAAATTTAATTACAAACAAAAGCAGAAAAACTATATATTTCTATTGATTATATCTTCTCCTTTTTCCAATGGGGATAAATCTTCTTCTTCCCAGTTTCATCGACAATCTTGGCCGGAATTTTATCAATTTCCACCGGATTTTTCTTTCATTTATCAGTTTCAGCAGTTTTATCTTATTCCTCGTGTCCTCTCTTTCTTCTTCTTCTTCTCCATTTTGTCTCTTAAAGTTTTTCTAATATTTTTTTTAAACATTACAAAACAAACATGAAATTTATCAACCATTGGGTTCTAATACTCTCACATACTTGGAAAAATTAAAAGAATTCAATAAAATTTTACAAGCTTAATTTAACTTTGAATGCATTTAGCATTTTTTCGATTTTATATACCTAAGAAAATGTTGTAAAAAAAATATAGCCGCGGGTAAGGGGCAACATTTTCATTCTTTTGGTATGCTTTACGGTGTCATATGAGTTCGGGTCGGCTCTGAGTATCATCCATATCTCCAAGCCATGCCTTGAGACTCGCTTCTTTACCGGCCTTAAACTCCTCGAACTTTGTCGTCTCCACCATATGTTCACCTTTACTCAAGACTTCTTCTTTGTCTTCTTCTTCTTCTTCTAACTCATTGCTTTCCACATTGGGGCTGGACTCCACCTTCTGTTCTTTGAAGTCAAGTTGTGGCCATTTGATGTTGCTTGCTTTCTCCTTAGCCGACTTTAACACCGATGTGAAATAGCTACTGCTTTCGCTATTATCCTGGCTGAAACCAGAACCACGCGTTGTGGATGTTATACTGCTTGATCTGCTCCAAGGGCTTGCGGCGTTGAGGATTAGCCCTCTCCTCGGTTGCTTCGAAGACATCATCGCTAAGGATTTTTTGATGTCTCCTATCATCTCATCAGCAATAGGTGAGCCACACTCTTTCATTGATTTCACCATGGCTATAGAATCTTCCAAGTCTTCGGTGTGCAAGACCGTTTCGCGGGACTTGTCCAAAACGTTGCTGTTGAGGCTAAGGACATTAGGTGCTGCGTTTCGGACATGCTGCTGAATGTAGTAAAGCCCCACTGAGGGTTCGTTTGCAATGTATTTTATCATCTCGGCCAAACTCTCGTTTATCTCCGCAAAACCATCAACAGTAGAGAACTCATGCATTCTGTCAAAAAGAATGCATTTCTGTAAACTCCACAGCAACAAGGAAAAACTAGAGCACAACTGGTCAAGTCAAAACAAACCAATCAAGCTAATTACAGAGTTAAGGAAAAATACAAAATGAGGTTCAAGTTCTTCAATATTCAGCTACTTATATTCTTCTTTCTTGTGTCCAGATGATGTATCAAAGCAGTAAATGTTACGAGAAGCAATCCGAATGATATCACACATTGCTCAAAGAGAGGTTTTTGAGACGCTTAAAAAGGAATCTGATACAAACTGAGATTCACAAGCGATTCAAGAGAAACAAAACAGAGTCTTACATTATAAATGAACCTCAAAAGCTCAAACTTTAGCGATAAAAGATCAATCTTTTCTCCATAAGCATCATCAAAGCTCAAATGAATCAAATGGTCTATATCCAATTAGAGGCGGCTTTTAAACACGTCCAATTCTACAAGCTAGGTCTCGATAGGAATCAAATTCAAGAACAAAATTACCCAGATGGAAAAAGTTCCTCACAGCACCAAAACAGGAATTGAGAAATAAGAAAGAAAGGAGGAGCTTACAGGAAAACCTAGATGACGACGGAGCAGAGAGAAAAGAGGCGAATCGGCGATAATCGGTGAATAATCTCACTGTCAATAAGGAATTGGAATCTCCGTGTCTCTCCTGATGTGTTCCTCCTATCATCTGATCAAGGAACCAAACAAAAAGCAATTTACTTTGAGCTCTTTCACGATAAAGTGCAGACAAAAATTGAGCACGACGAACAAGACAATAATAATCCCCAAGGATGTTTTTGTGCCCACGTCAGCGTTCGCTCGCACGTGCCTGCCTTCTACCCCCGCACGTTTGGATAGATAGTAATCGTTTGTGAGATTCAACAAAAAGAAGAAATGTTTAACAGCTTCGGCCAGGACTGTCTGTAAATATAATTAAAAAAAAAAAAAAACTAACTGAAAATATACAAAATTCACTTCAAAATCTTCAGTATTATCGAGGACGACACAAGCCATATATATTGGATTCAAATTATCAAATTGATAGGAAAGCATAATCTATTCTATTAAAACAGAAGCACATTTAGTGCTTGCATCCAAACACTCCTAAAATTTTTTTTATAATATTTTATTTTATTTTTATATTTAATTTCCAAAAATTAGTTATTAATTTAGATATTTTTAGATTTCCTAAAATCTAGGTCATCTTTAATTTAAATTTCAAATTATTAGAAATTTAATTAAATTTAGTTACAAAAATTTGCATTCAATTTAATTTAAATTCAAAAAATTCAAAAAAAAATTACAATTAAATTTTATTACGAAAATTTTAGATAATAATTTTAATACTTTAAAATTTCTTAAATACAGGAGAGATTTTATTTAAAATTTTAAATTTAAATAATATTTTTATAAAAATACATAGTAAATAAATATTTTATCGTATTTTATCATAATCAATCGGTCTAAAATATTAAATATTTGAGATTAATAAATATTTATATTATACAATAATATGATCGAGCTGATTAGAATTATATATATATATAAATATATTTAAGGTGGATGAGTTAATTTATTAAAACATGTAAGATATTAAGATGATTTGAGACAATTAAACTAACAGGTTAGCCAATTTATATATATATACATTTTTTTAATAGCACAAATAGTAAATAAATATCTTATTATATTTTTTCATAATCAATTGGTCCAAATATTCTATATTAGTAAATATTTATAGGATTATACAATTATAATTACAGTCTTATACGGGTTAGTTTGTCAAAACATGTAAGATATTAAAAATAATTTAAGATAATTAAACGGATGGATTAGCAAATTCATAGATATATAGATTTTTTATGTGTAAATCTAAATTCACATAATAACAAAATTTAAAATTAACATTAAATCAGTGTATACTTAATTAACGCATACTCTTATTCTACTAATATACAAATTTTACTGTTTAAAATTAAAATATGATAACAACTTTTTGATTTAAAAAAATAAATAACAAAAACAAATTATATCTAAACAAAACTGATAAATGCAACTTATATTAGAAAAAAAACATTCTCGTACGGACGCACGGAGTTAAAATCTAGTTAAATGTTAAATTAGTCTCGTTAACGAAATATAATATTTAATAAAATTTACCATCCGATGTGTCAAATATTTGATTACATAGTAATTATCACGACCAGAAAACCAAACAGAAAAAATAGATAACATATCTAAGATTGAGTATTGTGATATCAAAAGAACTAACAAGCAAAGAGATGAATTTTGGTTTTCCATAAAATTGAGAAATAGAAATGCATTTAAAACTAAAAGAGATGGCGACTTTATATTGTAATTTAAATTTTAACTCAAACAAATTTAATTAATTAAAAAACTTGTATTATGGTAGATTTTGTGAACATATTAAATAGAGTAGTTAGTTTAGCTTTGGCGGTTTTGACTTTTAGTTTTTAGTTCAATCCAGATTCAGTAAAATGAACAATATCTGGATGGGCTCGCTGATTCGAACCAGCCTTCAGAAACATCTGTTTGACAAAAAAAAAACAAAAATCTGATTTAAAAATCAGAAAAGAAACTAGTTATTTGAAAGAGAATCAAAATAGAGACAGTTAACACTTGAAATACAAACTCAAAAAAGAGAGAGTTGAATAGACGAATACATATTTAAATATAAATAGTTATGTCGGAAAAAAAAATGGTCATGGCCTTATGGGCAAATAAAAGGTCAAAGGGGTCAAACTTACGTTAAACAGCCTGAGCTAGTAGGGGCATAAAAACGAAATTCAACCATTGCTTCTACTCTTGTTTTTTAATCTGGAGATGTATCATTTACATTAATCTATTGATGTAAGTAGACCATCTCTTACGCAGCTACGCTTATGTATATTGGCTAGACTGTTCAATCCACGTATTATGCAGGTATAAACAAACTAACTTAAGTTTGATAAAAAGAAGAAGCAAACTAACGATAACTCTATAAGAAGTTTTAAACTGATGTCTTATCCCAACATAACTTGAATACTATACTTCTTTAATCAAGTTACACATTTTTGATATTGTGTGTCTGGTTGACAAAAATAACTAACATTTTTAGACCAAAAAAATAAAAAATAACTAACATTAAAATTTGTAAGATATCCATATATATATATATATAAAGCGATAAACATATACATTTTGTTATTAGTAAAAACAACATTCATTTGCTTAACTAAATTAAGTTTTGTTCTTCAGGTATCCAAGAACCTGGCTATATATCTTAGGAATATTTATTAATAATTAACTCTTTCACATATATATATATATATATATTTTAAGAAATTGTAAAATGAAAGGTCAAAAACCGATTGTATATGTATAGAATGTTCAAGAAATGAAAGAAAAAAATACAACAAAAGAAGGATTTAGAGGAAACAAAAACAATGTAAACTAATGTAAACGATTGTAGGGAATGGCATAAGTTTTTCAGTTTCCTTTTTAGCTTATAACTTAATATATGGATTTCGAGAGGAAAGTCTCCAAATTGATCATGATGTTGTAGTTATACAATCAGTGGTCATGTTGGTGGTTCATTTTGATGGATTTTCTACTTCTTTTGATTCCCTTTTTTATAATTGTAAGGTATACCATCTAATTCGCTTTATTAGTTCAAGATTTGTTGATGCATCTTTCACCTTGCACAACTCATCTTCAACAATGATCTTTAGCCTCTTCCATGAGTGTAGGTTCCAATATTGGTTTACTTGTGACCATTGATACACCTAAACCAAACACAATGTGGCTTATTCATGGAATTGAGTAAAAATTTGGGGATGTTCATGAGTATTATCCAAAATAGTGATAGTTTTGATTTCAAGAATAGAGTAGGTAGCTGTAAGACTCCAAAGAACCCAATATTTAGTAGACTCATCACAGAATAGAGAATAGGTAAGACGAATCTCCTAACTTGTGCATATGTATTCCGCATTTCCTATCTTATAAATTAATGATTCATGTATGAATGAGTCTACCTGGAAGTAGGGAACAGCGGTAAAAATAGCCTATAACAAATTGTGATCTGAATACGATTAGTTCATTTATTATATAACAATGATACGCGGCCACCTTTCACATTTTTTTTTGTTACAGTGCCACTATTCACATAATAAATTCAGTTATACAAACCTAAAATACACTAATATTACTTGCAAATTTTTAACCATATAACTGAGAAAAACTATTTCGAGAAGAACATTTTGTGGATTGTATAGAAATCTAATATAATTCCTAACTCGTTAGAAATGATGTAATGTGTACACACTAGTACTTGACTTCTAACATGAATGAAACTTTTTTTAATTCTGTTTTTGTTTGAATGCAACTTATTTACTAAAACCAAATATTTGGGAAAATAGATTCACAGAATACACCCGATACAGATGGTCCACAAACTTACCATTATTCATTCCATAGATACGTGTGAGCGAATAAATCTACGTACAACTCACACATAGAAACACACAACAAATATGAATATATGTTATATAAGAATGCTTGCGCATGCATAGATTTATAAAAGACATGTGATAATTGGTGGGTAGACAAAAGTACAGCAAGGATTAGGTAGTAAACACTATGGATTGTTCCTTAGTCTAAACAGAAGAGTCAAAGAGAGAATCTTAGTTTAAAGTTTAAACAATTACTTCACAATTCTCTCTATACTTTCTTAAAGGCAATGTCCTCTCACTATATAGCAGTACTGTAGTCGTATATATTATAATTATTAGTTAGTTGCAAGATTATGGGTCGTGCCCTTTCTTTTCATGGTTTGTTCTTACATTATTACAGTAGACAGCAAATATGAGGTGTACCATATTTCCCGGTTAATAATAGCCTATGTAAAAAATATATATGCATATACCCGATATTCGAAAGAAATGCAAATAGAGAAGAGATAACTAAAAAATATAGAGAATATATATATATATATTCGGAATTGAAATGATAATAATAAAAATTGGAGTGTGGAAAAAGGTGGAGGAGATAGAGGAATCCATGTGTATCCAAGCACTTGCAGACAAAATGAGCTTCAGAGAAGAGAAAAGCAACCTTTAGCTTTTTTAAGACCACCAGACTCAGAAAAGGAGATTTCAAACACACTCTCTCCTCTTTTAGGGTTCTTATATTTTTCTCTCTCCTCTTCCTTTAATTATGTCCTGGGAAATTTCCTTCCTTCTCACTTAATCAATCATACACACCACCATGATGCATCATATCTGATCTCATGCTCATGCATATGCATGTGTGATATGGATGGTGATGTGTATGGATGTCTATATTTAGTGAGGAGTGAGAGGATGAGATGCAAAAGCAACCCCACAAGCAACCCTTGTTTCACTCTCAAAAGACTAAACAAATTAACCAAAAATAAATATATATGCCCTAACTTTAGCATTTTGCCTTTATCCCCTTCTTTCTTGCCCTTTCCTTAGGGTTTCTTGTGGGTCTTTCTTTTTCCCTTTGCTCCTTTTTTTTCATTTTTCATTTTCACCTTTATTTTTTGAATCTTTTTGACCCAGGCACCTCTCCTTTAATTTGCTTGCCTCTTGTCTACATATATGTATATGTATATATATACACATCTAATCTCTCTCACCCGACCCTTAGTTGTTTTTATATAAACCCTTTCTCCTCCTCTCTCAATCACCTTCAATCTCTCTCTTTCTCTCCCTCTGGATCCCCAATCTCAT